CGTCGCTAAGTCCATTCTCCGGGTCCTAGTCGCCGCCAACGCCAAACCTGGGGAAATGCAAAGCATTCCCAGGAGCCCCTTGGCTCCTGGCTTGATCTCAGGAAATAATTTGACACGTATTTAAAAGCCGTGAATTTCAAATCTCTGCGGATGATGAGCAATGTTCCTATTGGGAGGATGTCACATAAGCGAGCAGTACAAAGAAAGGAAAAGGGTTGAAACTCTTTGTATTAAAGGGCTCCCTCCCAGGCTCTTTGAATTTAATAAGTTTGAAACCCAGAGAATTATGTTTAGAGTGAAAAGTGAGCCATAAAAGGATGGGAGATTATTTGGGAGGGCAGTGAGACTTTCGAAGGCATATACTATGAAATTCTAGACCTTTGACTCCTATGAATACCAACACCTGGTCCTGAATCCCTCCCACAAAACATCCCACTGGTGGTAAGAAGAGTATTTGAAGTTCTAGTAATGCTGGCTAGATGGAAAGGCAGACAGGCAGCAACAGGAATGCCTGAGGTAAGACCAAGGGAGGGGCCCAAAGAAGAGAGTGTGATGAATAACTGGGGCGAGTCAGAGGTGATGAACCTGCAAAGGCAGGGGATGTGTTCTCTCCACGCTCATTTCTCTATATACAGCCTGGTTAATGGATATCTTAGTAAGTGGCATGGTACATGATTCTGACCCTGCTTCTACCATCATCGTGCTGTGTGCCTCAGGACCATGACTCCACCTCTTTGGGCTTCCCTTTCCTCGCTTGTAAAATGATGTTGGTGTCCCGGGGTTTCTGTCACATAGCAAAACTTTTCACAGCTAAAAGACAGTTCCCTAGGACTTCTTTTTCTCTAATCAAAACTCCTTGCTCTTTAACCATTTCTCACAAGGCCTACTTTCTAGACCCTGGGTCTCTTGACTCCCCTAGATGAGCTTTCTTAAAGCACGTGGCTCTCGATGAGATGGTTTGAGGTGCCTCTGGCAAGGGAGAGCTGCTGCTCTGGACGCTGTTCTTATGGCAACCAAAATGCTGTCTGTATTATATAATTGCAGTAAAAGCAATTCATTAATGAATACCGCAATATATTTAGTGTTTCTAAGTGTTCAAAAATCTTTTTGTAGAAATGGACATATTTTGTCCCAATTCACACAAATGTCATTCAGAGCTATCCTACCTTGTCGGTATGGGCTCAGCATCCCAGTTTTTTGAGGTTGCTCTGGATCTTGATTCTGTCACAACAGTGGATGACAAGGTTGTATAGTTTGGTATTGCAAGGGACCTTGGCAATCAAGTTGATCCTCTTATTTTTGTGTTATTTGCAAATCTGACAGAATATCTTCCATGTCTTTAAGAAAGCACTTAAAGGTGTTGAATGTGTCAGAGCCATGTTGCCACAAGGGAAGATGTCACGAGAGACCTTCTTTTAGGTTGGCATCCACTTGTTAATCAACACCCTGTCTGTGGTTGCTCAGCTAGCTCTGAATCCACTTAACTATACTCTGGAGCCATCTACAATTCTCCCTTTTGTCTTCCTACAAGTCATGAAATCTTTCCTAAAAGTTTCTGTTTTTCCTCAAAGTTGATGTTAACACATTCTCCTTTTTAGCGTATCAAGTTTTATATTACAAATATTAACAGTTCTGCTGAAGGTTGTGGTGTGTGTGTGTGTGTGTGTAGACCAAGATCTTGATGGTGGTTAGATTAGGAAGATGAATCATAAGTGTTTTTAAAATTTATGGTTAGGGGCGCCTGGGTGGCTCAGTTGGTTAAGCGACTGCCTTCGGCTCAGGTCATGATCCTGGAGTCCCAGGATCGAGTCCCAAATCGGGCTCCTTGCTCAGCAGGGAGTCTGCTTCTCCCTCTGACCCTCCCCCCTCTCATGTTCACTGTCTCTCTCTCATTCTTTCTCTAATAAATAAAATCTTTTAAAAAAAATAAAATTTATAGTTAGGATTATACTACTTTCACAATTAAAAAAAAAAATACTCATCAGAGGCGCCCGGCTCAGTTGGTAGAGCACGCAACTCTTGATCTCGGGGTTGTAAGTTCAAGCCCCACATTGGGTGTAGAGATTACTTAAAGAAATAACATCTTTAAAAATAACAAATAAATAATAAAAAATACTGATTGTAACTTTCCAAATCTTCAGTTGAAAGCACATCTGCTTTCTCTCATCTTCAGTTTTGGTTTTGTGACTCTCGTAAGTATGTGTCTGGAGCGCATTCCAGAGCCTCAGAATGAGTGAGCTCACTCTTCACACGGAGAGCATTTGGTCAGTGATGGATGAGCAGAGGTTTTGCTTGGGGTCCTAGAATGCAAACTTCTCCTCCGTGGTTAATGGAGACCTCTGATTATTTCTGCTTTGATAGACCCAACACCACAGCCCAGGCAGCTGCCCAGCTCATGTTTATTATTGGTTATAGAGTGGGTGAGGAAATATGCGCACACTGGTTCAAAACAGGATGATTTTTTGAGGTAAGGATTTGTGTTTTGTTCTCTGTATGTCTTATTCCTACATTTTCCAAGAAAGGAGCTGGGCTCCGGGCTCCTTATGTTTACAGGGACCCAAAACAGAAGCTGCTTAAAGACAACTTCTCTACCTGTTTATTTGATGTCTGCCGCACTGAAAGTCTAAACTCACTGAAGAGATTATTTGAGGTTTCTAGAGTGGGATGGAGACGAGATGAGTGGCTTTTCAGGGAGAAAAGAAGCTGCAAGGAGAGATAGGTGAGAACTTTGCAAAAGTGCAGACGGAGCCGGAGGCTGGCTGGTCCCTCCAGCAGCCAGGACCATTTACAAGGGTGGCACCCAGTGGAGGTGGCCATCCTCGGGAGGCAATGGCTGTGTGGACACTCAGAAAGGGGGGCATTCTATCACCCAGACTTCCAGTCCTCACAGAATCCTGGGCATTCAACCAAGCAGAGGGTAGCACAAGTGCCACTTCCAAAGGACCATGTGGGCTGGCCACTGATCCATCTGCTCTGGTCAAGATGGACTGGAGCCTACATTAGGGCCTGCCCTGTATTGTGGGCACCACAGAAGCCTTCCCAGTTCTTGTGCTACCCCAGGCAAGAGGATTGAGACTGGTTTTTCTGCTTGCTCCGTGGAACGGCGAGCTTCATTTTATTTGATTTATCGAAATAAAGAACGGTGATACATCCTGCACCTCTGGGTTAGTGGCTAATTTATTCCTGAGATAGTTGTAAATTCACAGCAGGCCCGGAACACGATTCAGATGCATAGGAAATCAATGTCTGATTGTTTCCTTCCTCCTTTCTTCCAAGCAACACTCTTAAGCATTTCATGTGATAGGCACAGGAGAGAAAGTGGAGATACAGAGATAAAAGAACACAGCCCCATCCTTGGGAGTTCTCAGAGAGGATCAGAGAGGTGAGCATGAGGAGGGGACAGAGTCCCGCCTCCTCAGCCAGGGCTGTTTTGATTATATATTGGTACCTTATTGAGCAGTGCCTGGTGTTTGAAAATTGTTAATGACACATAGTGGGAGCCTAATAAGATAACATCAAGCGAATTTTAAATTGGATTAAGACAGTGTTAAAAGGGGGAGGAGGGTCAGTAATGTATCCTCCAGACTGAGAAGGCACTTTAGTACTGAAAAACAAAACACCGTGTACACAGAGTTTTGTTCAGTGTCACTTACTGACGGACAATCAGAGGGGCGAATGGACCAACCATCCAGGGCACTACACAGTAATTCTTCACCCCTGCTCTCAGCCTGTTCTCTGCAGCTATCCAGACCTTAATCCCCAGATTTTACGGAGTAAAGGGCAGGGGGTGTGTGGTCACAGGATAGTTATCTAAGATGGCACCACCTGCGTCCCAGATGGAGGACCAAAGATGGAGTGTGTTGTCCAGGTGGAGTTCCTCAGTGCCCTGGAACACGTTGCTCCAGCACTCAGTCCCCATCTATGTGCCTGTTCCCACCTGGCCCTCTCCTGTATCCAGCCTTCACTTACACTCGTTCATTCATTAGATTTGCATTTATGAGGAACACGCACTGACCGCGATGAAAATCTGATCCACTGTGAAGAAGGTGAATCAGAGCAAGGGTGGCATTATCAGCCTCCAAGTCCTATAAGGGAAACAAAACAAGACCAAGCTCTGATCACACTTTCTCCTGTAGAAGGATGGGTGGATCTGGTGGGCTCAAGGGAAGCACAGACGATGCTCTGACATTAGAACATGCAAGAACCATTAGACGTGGGAGCTAAAGGCCAAATCATTATTCTTTTTTTTTAATTGCCATGTAACAGACATCCAACATTATGTTAATTTCAGGTGTACAACATAATGATTCAATGTCTGGATATACTGCAAAACGGTCGCAATAAGTCTGGTTACCATCCATCAGCACACATAGTTACACATTTTTTTTCTTGTGATGAGAACTTTTAAGATCTACTCTTCTAGCAACTTTCAAATATGCAACGGCATTATTAACTATAGTCACCATGTTGCGCGTTACATCCCCATGACTTATTTTGTAACAGGAATTTTGGACCTATTGACCCCCTCATATTCAGTATTCTTAAGCTCCAAGTCCAAATTGAAGGAATAGGATGTGTGAGAAACTTCTCACTAACTTCCATGATGCCTGTGATAAAATGCAGTTTTTCTCCTTTGCTCAGATCTCCACCTGGGAGAAAAATACCACAGGGCGTTCGGAAGTTGTCTAGCTTCATCTTTTCCCTTCTGCCCTGCATCTCTTTGTGAGAGAGCAAATTAATAAGTCAGGAGTTAGGACCCAGAGCTCTGTTTTAGACTTACACGATCTGACAGCTGAGTGGAAATCAATGAAGTGTAGTTGAAGAAACATCACACTGATGTGAGGTGGCTTGAGACTTTCTTATCCCACTTCAGGTGTCTACTCTCCCCTTGGGTTCCGCTTCGGATTTGGAACCACTGCGTTTTCTTTTCAAAACCTCCCTTTCTGATGGAAATACTGTACTGTTTAAAAGGAAGGGGTTATCTTTCCTAAACTGACATCATGAGACTGGCAGCCTTTCTCGTCGTGTTCATCGTCCTTGGTGTCACTCCCTCAGGTAAGCTCAAGTTAAAGTAAATTAAAACTTCATCATTGTAGAATGATTTAAGCAAGGGAGGCAGAAATATGGTGTTGATAATGTTAGAATTAGAAAATGTAATGTACAGGTATCTTTAGGATAACCTTTAGGATGCGGTTCTAATGAGTAATTCTAGGAAATCGGCATGTTGCTAAAGAAATCATACCTATGGATTCCATCAGATTTATGCTGTTGTCATTTTTCTGGGCTATTCCTTTTGAATCATGAACTTGGTAGGAAAATATAAAAGGAGGAAAAATGTTCCTGAATGCACTGAATGCTTCTCAGAATCGTTAAAATATTTGGCACAGAAATTTACTCTGTCAACATTTTTATATCATGTCTACTAATAATCACTATATCTGTGTGTAGGTACTTAATTTTATCCAATATATTCTATAGACTTATATACAAACCTTAATAAATGTGTGTGTAAGTATATTTAGTATGTTTGCATATCACAGTTAAACCAAAATAGACATTACATGTCTATGAACATGTGTGAGTTTTATCCACCTGAAATTTGGAGAATTCTTAATAAAGAAAGAGGGCAAAGAAAAGGAGAGAGGGAGAGAGAGATGGACAGACAGCCAAAAGAGAAATGGAAAGAGGGAGAAAATAACTGCAAAGTTTATGGGGAAATGGTCATTTGCACCTGCCAGCTCTCTGGGTTTGGGAAACGCTTCACTTTTTATGTAACTTAAGAACACAAAGCCCTTCCCATCACAGTGGAAACCATTTAGAGCCAGGGGCCAGATGGCTGTCCCATTAGCAGTTTGCATTTATTTCTCACTAGGATTTTTGCCATGTTTGACTATTGCTACTTTCAGATGGGGAACCAGAAGCACCGAGTGAGATATGCCCAAGTCCTGAAATAAATCCTAGATTTAATAAATTCTAGACTTCAAATCTAGGCACACACACCGGAACAGTATCATATCTTTAAAAACGTAGCCTTTCTTCATACTGAGGACCCAAAAGGAGTCCTTTCTAAGTACCGAGGGCATCGGACCCACTTTCAAATATCACTAAATTTGATCCCTGGAGTCTGAAATGAAATTTGTCAATCATAAAAATGATAATCAACTTCTGTGTGTTTTAGCATACAATTAATATCCACAAGTCTAATGTTTTTCTGCCTTTATTTACTGTTCCATTTACTATGAAATAATTGATTCTTACCATCCTTTGCCCAGGGAAATCATCTCACTCGCAGGGGTGGTTGCATAAACCCTCTCCATTCACCTGTGTACCCCCTTCCTTGCACAGTAATGGTTACATAAGAAAATTGGGAATGGAAGGGAGCCTGGTACTCATTCTCCATCAAGTAGGACAAGGGTTTGGGAATGTGTACTGTGCTGGGTACATCTGTCACAGATCTATAATAAATCCATAACCTGTAGTCACTCTCGCATTTGTGAACATTTCTAGATCCCTCGGAGTCTATTTCTGTTTGCAGATCTGTACCACCTTTCCTTAAGTTCTTTAACTTTGCTACTCCTTGCAAAAGGAAATAGTTTCTTTTTGTTGCCCAGAACTACCTTTTCCAAATTACAAGGGGCAACCCCTCATTTTTAGATTTCTGGCTTTGGCGGAAAGGATGACTGTGTCTGGCCATGTGACATTTCTTGTGTTGCAAATTCATGCTTTGTGTGTTTGGGTCTGCTCCCAGAAATAGGGACTGTATCTTACTCATCTTCCCATCACTCTTACCCACGATGACATGTATTTACTCATTCAATAAATATTTACTGAGGGTCTACTGTATCCTAGGAACGATTCCAGCATGGGGGATGCAAGAGGGAAAAAACAAAGTCATTCGAATAAACTCTCACGCTAGCAAGGATCCATCCAATATTTATTATTTATTTCACCCCGAGGGCTAGTTCTGTGTGTTGACAGCAGAAGCTAACATATTTGTGGTATGATTTTTTTTTTGACAAGGTGGTGATAATGGAAGGACAAAACCAAAATATACCAAAAGGTGTCTAAACAAAAAAATGTGTCTCTCCCAACCATGTTTGCTGAGGTTTAAAAGTCTTCAATTACTTCTTTACTCTCTTAGCTAAGGATAAACAATGATGTTTTCTTCAATAAAACCATAAATAAGCATGTGAGTTGTCATCAGTTAAGTCTTATCAGTTATTTATACCTCAGCGTGCATGAACTTGTTACCTGATGTCTCCTCTGTTGCAGTAAATGGCAGCCAGGAGCAAAGTTCTCCAATCAATGGTACATCTTAAACATTACCTCCTTTTTGTGTCTTCAGAATAGCAAGTATTGGGCATAATAGATCACATTTTGTGGCTGTTTCATGGGCATGAAATCCTAGAAGCATAGGGTGTGTGCGTTGGTAAGGGCTTACCAATCATCCACATTCTATTTTTCTGGGAGAGGTTAAATGTCTTGCTTAATTAAGATCGCCTGGTTTGGAAACAAGACCAGAACTCATGTCTCTAAATCTGAGTCCAGTGGCTCTCAATGTTAAATAAATATTTGTTGGATTCTCGTTTTAACAGTAACAAGTTTGGCAAGAGACTCAGCATCCAGAGCCAAGAGCAGAGTGCCCTCCTAGAGCACTTTCCCAGCCTGAGTTCCACATGGAAGAAATTACTAGAATCAGGCAGAGAGCTCTCCATCTGTCTGATCGCTTGCATGTGCTCTCCCTCTGGTTCTCCCTCTTCTTGTCCTCCACCTGCGGAGTTGCTTATGTAGTCCCAAGAGAAATATTTTGACAAAGAAAAAAATAAGACAAAGATTAAGTAGAGAGAGGGAGAGAAGAAAGGGGGAGAATTGGGATTTAGGGGAGCAATGGTGACAAGCTTTAACAACCAGCACATATCCTCTGGAGATGTGCATTAGACTATACGTGTGTGTGGAGGGGGGGATGGGGTTGCAAAGCAGGCCTTAATGCAAGGAGGTGTGAGAACACGATGGTCAAGTCTGAAGCAGGACCGCTCCTACTATAAAGCATTGGGTGTCCACCTGCAAGGAGAGGGACCACAGTGCCCATCCAAGAGGCGCCCAGGGCCAAGTTTAACTGCAGCAGAGGGGGACTGAGTAGGATTATGGGACACAATCACCAGTGTTGAGCATCTCCCTATCACCAAACATTATCTGTGACCTGGTTTTAGAATATCATTCTTCCTGGTGATAGATTGCTTTCAACAACAGTAAAGTATTTTTGGTAAATACAATGCTAACAACAACACAGCAACAAAAAAAGCAAAAACAATAAATATGTGTCCATAGACATGAATTGTTGAAAGTTTTTATGAAAAAAAAAAGTAAGGAGACCACAGCATAGGGAACGGTCTTTTTGCCTCCTCAGTCCTCCAAGGATGAGCTGGTGGAAAGATCGACAGCCTGGGAGTCAGAAAACCACACCCACCACATATTAGCTGGGTTGACCCTGGGTAAGTCACTCCCTCTCTCTGCACCCCAGCATCTTCATCTGTAAAAGGAGGGGCTAGGATCATCTTAGAAGTCCTTTCCAGCTCCACTGCCTTCACTTCATCATTTCACTTGTCCTTCCTCTTTCATGCTGAAATTATTTATGAATACAAACGCTCTCCCATCTCTCCCCATCCAGAAGCTGACTTTGGGAAATGTAAGCACCCACTCAGGGAGTCACTCATCTTCTGACATCAGCTTCCCAACTTGTCCGTGTATTGCTGAGATATATCTTAGAATATCAGTCTTGTCAAATTTGTTTAAAATACAAGTCCATTTGCAAAAATTTGGTTTACACACGTTTCAGGAATCCATTTATTCCTTAAAACAGAGACCACTTGTCCTGGAAATCCTGGACAACATCTGTGATTCTACACCCTCTGGAGCAGTGAGCCGAACTCACTCTGCCTCCTTCCCCTGTGCATGGAAAGTGCTGTTAGAGCCTCTTTGCATTTGGTTCACTCACCAAACGTCATCGAGTATTTACTGAGGCCCTAGCCTCAAAGAATCAACAGTGGGAGCACTTTCCCTTTCTTATCATGTTCTATTTTACAGGAAGGACAAACCAGAGACATTTCTAGGGCATCTCTGCATCTGCTCCAGTAACATCAATGACTTCAGCTTTTATTTGGGGAAGCTGAGGCAGATTGAAGATGCTGAGCAGAAAGCATTGAACCTTTGGCCTTTTTTTTTTTTTTGGTCAGATCTGTTTTGGTCAATACAGATTTGTGCTGTCTTAGACAGCTCGGGCTGCCATAACAACACACCACAGACTGTGTGGCTTACCAGAAATTTATTTTCCCACAATTCTGGAACCTAGAAGTCCATGATCAAGGTGTCAGCAAGTTCGGTTTCTGGTGAGAACTCTCTTCCTGGCTTGGAAACCGCTGCCTTCTGGCAGTGTCTTCACCTGGCTTTTCCTCATGCCTGCATGGAGAGAGAGCTCTTTCGTGTCTCCTCCACTTCTTCTAAGGACACCAGGCCAATTGGATTAGGACCCCACACTGATGACTTCATTTAGCCTAAATTATGTCCTTATAGGTTCTATCTCCAAAGATAGTCACACTAGGGGGGAGGAGGGGAGGGCTTCAACACAGGGATTTGAAGGGACACAAGTATTCAGTCCATAACAGCCTGTGCAGATTTACCCTTTTTGCTCCTCGATTCAGACAGCAGCTCACCTTCTGACATTGGCCGAAGTGGGTAAAACATACAAAGGTCTCTGAAAGAACAGATCTGCTTATTTCCCTTTGGAGCCCGGCAAAGAGCAGGGATCCAGCCATTCTCATGGAAGGTGTAGCTTTGAAGGTGGCAAGTGCTGGGGATTGTCAAGGTCATCATTTTAGAAGATCCCTCCCAGTAGGCAACTCCACCTTCCTGCAAATTGATAGTCAAATTGTCCTGCCAGGAAAGGAAGCTCAAAAGTACAGTTTCTGTTCTCAGGATTCTTCTCTCAAGTCCAGAATTACAATGGCAGGGTTGTCCAAGCTAAGAAGTCTGTGTGTGTGTGTGTGCACGCGCGCGTGCACACACGCACACTTGTGTTGGTTCAGACATCATGCAGGTGTTCTCAGGCTTCCTGGAGCATCTCCATCCATTGTGAGATGGTGTCGTAAGTAATTAGTTCTCACTGGCCTGAACTGGAACACGGGCTGTCGGGGAGGGCAGAACTCTGGTGCTAGGACCGCACTCAGGCGCGGGTAGCAATGGGTCCAACAGCTTACCCCAAAGGAGGGTTGCTTTTCTCACACACCAAAAAATTTGGAGGCAGGCAGTCCTGGGCTGGTTGGCGGTCCTATGGTGCTCTCAGGGACCCAGGATCCGTCTGTCTTTCTTAGGTGTGGAGCTTTCATCAGGCTGTGTGAGGTACCTGTGGGGCCAAATCCCGAGACACCGGGTTCCAGCTCCAGGCCGGAAGGATAGAGAGCAAAGGGCGAAGGATGCAAGGTGAAAGGCGCGGTCAGACCAGTCTGTCCTCTTCAACAGCATTTCCTACAAACCTCGCCCACTGGCTTCTGTTTGTATCTGAAGGGGCCGACGCATAGGGCACGTGGCCATCCCTAGCTGTGAGGGAGCCTGAGAAGGGAACATTTTAAGCTGGCACCATGCAATCCTGAATAAATTTAGCATCTGTTACCAAAAAAGAAAGGACAAATGGGCTGTTGAGCAGGGAACCAGCAGTCGTTGCCATGGTGACCATGAAACAATATTCTCCTTACGGGAGGGCTGCTCGCAAGGGGGAAGGCCGAGGGGGGGACCTCTGTGGCCTCCCTGCCTCTCTCTTCTCCCGAGCAATTCAGCTCTGGCCCAAACTCTCCAAACACCACTCAGCAAACAGAACCCAAGTAGCTCACTGCATTGCCACACAAGTGTTGGCTCAGCAGCCACGATGTGCCAGACCCCACAGAGCTGGGAGGCGGTGGTCAGGAAGGTTTCCGGGAGCGCCATTTTCCCATGGGGCAGACAGACAATAAGCAAAGACACATATAATATGTGCAAGGGCTCCGATGCAGGATAAAGTACCATCAAGGGGATAAAGTGTGAGGAGGGATGTTTAGACTGTGTAACACAGAATGACCTCTTCAAGGAGATGTGACGTGTGAGGAAAGATGGGACAAAATGAAGGAATGAGCGTGGGGTTATGGGGTCTCTACAGGGCAAGAGCCTGCCCCAAACAGAAGCACACGGGCATGTTCTGGAAAGAGCAGATGGGCCTGAGGACCTGAGGAGGTGGGCTGAGGGAGGAGTGGGAGAACGTAGGGGCCCTACACAGCCAGAGAAACCATGGTAAGAACATGAGATGTCTCTTCTAGGTTTGATGGGAAGCCATTTGGAGGGTTTGAGCAGGAACTGACATAATCCTCTTCAGCTTGTAAGAGATGGCTCTAGAGCTGAGCAGAAAATGAACTATAAAGGGGGCACGGGTGGAAGCGATGTGGAAAGCAGCGCACGAATCCGAAAGTTGATGGAGTCTGTAACTTGGGCAGGACCAATGGGAATGGTGGGAAATAATCAGAGTTGCGATGGATTTTGAAGGAAGCGAAGACCGGGTGTGGGATAGGAAATTTGTGAAGTGCAGCCTGAGCAAGTGAACAGCCCGTGCCTCAGAAAGCTTCGGGGAATTTCAACTGCCACCCTCCCCTACACTTCCAGTAAGGTTTTAGGGCATTTACAGAGGGCTGCCCTGGCGGCCACCCAGCTGACCTGCTCCTTAGCGTTGCTCTGCTCGCTGGAAACAGCTGAAGTAGCAGAGTTTCAGAACAGTTAGCTCCTTAAATAAATGAGCACAAACGGAAGTCACAGCTCTCTCCATCACTCATTTGCATTTTAATACGTTTTTTAGACAGAGAACGGGGTGCGGGCAACCTGAGTATGTAACCCATCTTAGGGACACCTCTGTTCACCCCTAGGAGCATTGAGTGGGTTTCAATTTACTTATTTTGTAACTGGAGGGACAGATTTCCAGTGACATAATAAATAGGTCACAGAGATGAAAAGTATGGCATAGGGAATATAGTCAATAAGGTGGTAATAATGTTGTTTGGTGACAGATGGTGACCACACATGGTGATGAGCACTGAGTAATGTATAGAATTGTTGAGTCATTATGTTGTACACCTGAAACTAATATAGCACTGCACGTTAATTATACTTGCATTTAAAAACAGAGCGGATTTTTAATTGCTACTCCCTTAGTAAAGCAAAGGTCTATGCACATACAGGGAGTGTTTGCTCTTCTTCCTACTAATAATCTTTGGGGTTTTGATTGGGTAAACTTTGAGGTGTGTCTTGCATGTGATCATTGCCCATCATGTGTCTCTCAGTGGGAAAAAAGGTTTTCTTTGGTAAACCACACAGTGCAGAATGAGTTGTTTAGGAGATATAATAGGGTGCTTAATATACCACGAGAGGGGCTATATTCATTTTTTTTAAAGATTTTATTTATTTATTTGACAGAGAGAGACACAGCGAGAGGAAACACAAGCAGGGGGAGTGGGAGAAGGAGAAGCAGGCCCCCATGGAGCAGGGAGCCCAATGCGGGGCTCGATCCCAGGACCCCGGGATCATGACCTGAACCGAAGGCAGACGCCTAATGACTGAGCCACCCAGGCACCCCAAGAGAGGGGCTATATTCAAAACAACAGCAACAAAGCCTCCTTGCTTTAAATTTCATAGCATAACACTTTTTAAAAGAAACAAAACTTATCTCTAGACTCTAGACCATTTCTTCAGCCTGAGGGTCAAAGCTTGAAATTAGGGTGTTTCGTAGGCTCTCAGACATAGGGGTGGAGAAGAGTGTTAGAACCTGGTTGATGACCAGGGAAGGTCTTTATAAGGGAAGACTTCCTCAGGAAGAAGGCAAGGGAACAAACAGCCCAAGGGATGTGGTAGGTGTTCAGTGGATATGTGCCAAATGCGTGGAAAATGGCCCCAACATATTCCTTTCACTGGTTCATTCATTAAATAGATTAACATGAGTATGTGCTATGGGCAGGCACTGTTCTAGGCACTGGATAAACATCATCAAGTAAAATGGATACAGTGCCTTCCATCATGGAGATCAAGGGAAGGATGGACAATGACAAATTCACAACACATTGAGGCAAGGGACATCATGGAGCCAAACAGGGTACAGTGGTGGACAATCACACGTGGGCAGAGACCATGTCTGTGAGGAGGTGGCATCTCAGGTGAGATGTGAGGTAGACGGTAAACAGGTGGCTGTAGGGAATTCTTTGGGGGTCAAAGTGCTGACCTCACGGTGGGAAAATCCCGCGAGAGTGCGAAGCTCTGGGTAAAGCATAGAGTCTGCTTTCAGCCGTGTGTTGTGGGCATGGAGAATGGTTCAAGAACCCTTGTACATTCAAAGCTGCCTTTGCTGCACTAGGCCGCGTAGACTATACGAAGGTTCAGGCTGTAGGATGCTAAACCAGCCATTACGCCTTTCCCATTAATTCGGGTTTCCCTCATGATTCTTACAGCCGCTGCAGGATTCAGCTCAATAGCTGAAAGTGAAGATGCCCTCCTCAGACACTTATTCCGAGATTATCAGAAATGGGTTCGCCCTGTATTAAATTCTAATGACACCATAAAAGTATATTTCGGATTGAAAATATCTCAGCTCGTAGATGTGGTGAGTAATCCTTGGCACAAAGCTGAAAAGAACATGCATTTCTTAACCTGTCTGTGAGTCTAAGATTTTATTTTGTTTTCTTTCCCCATGTCTGCCATTTCCATTTTAAAAATAGCTTACTGTGAGAGAAAATCTGCCCCAAGAGGCCAGTGAAATGACCCGAGGGAGGAATGAGAAGTGTCATGGAGTAAATTTTCATTGCGGCACTATTTGTGTGGGACCTTTGGCTGGGGGGCGGATGTGGTGGCTGGGACAGGCATTGCCCCTGGCGGGTTGGCTGAGCACCAGGACGAGCACCCAGGGAGAAGCAAGGGGTGGGAGAGAAGGCAGAACTGAGCCGAGGGCTCGTCAGGGTCCCCCGGGCTGATTCGGTGTCACCTGAACTGCGGATTGGGTGAGGGCTGCCAGGGGTATTGACAGGGAGAGAAGGCAGATGATGTTGGCACCCCAGTGCCTGGCAACCCCATCACCCTCCTGAATCCCCCCAGGACCCCGCAAATTCCTCTGGCCCCACCCATACCTTAGCATTCTCTGCTAATGTTCCTGTTGGGCTCCCACTTCTGCCATGATTGCGATCCCAGGAAATCAGTGAACTTTAAGAAGCCCATTCTGCAAAGTCATCCTGCTGTGCTCCACAAAGTTCCAGAATAGTCCCCCCATATTGCCCCAATCCCCTGCCCCACCACTGGCACACTCACCCACCCCAGCTAACTCGATGCCCAAGGAATCCTTCTAGAAAATCACGCAAAACCAATCTCTTTTTTAGCTAATGTTCATCCTACTTCGCCACCTTTCTGGGCTATGCAATTTTAGATAAATATCACCACAAGTAACTGCTACTTGCTTTAATTATTATTTTTTATTTTAAGCAAAATATGTGTAATATTTTAGGATCCCATGCCATTTAACTGTGCTTAAATTGAGACTCCTTTACACTTTGAATGCCTCAAATGTATGTGTCAGAGAGGTCTTTCTGACAAAAGAAAAAAATTCTAAAAGACAACTTCACTTAATTTGAATTTACATCTTCCTAATTGTCACTAAAAAAAGATGAAAAGAATCAGCTGATGACAACAAATGTGTGGCTCAAACAGGTAACTGTCAATCCAAGCATTAGGTCTCCTAATCTAATTATTTCCATGCTTTTCTGTTTAGAAAGACACCCATTTGAAAAGCAATTATTTTACAGAGCATATTGGTTTCCTTGGGGAGATATGTGGGAATGGTTGGGAAGGGTTTATTATTTAATTTTCTTTGGCGGGAGGTGGAGAGCAGCTTCTGGAAGCTTGGGGGCATGCCTGGAGGGGACTCTCTGACACCCAGGCCTGGGTGCTGCTCCCTGGCTACTTGGAGAAGGCGGCGAAAGCTCCAGAGTGCCACTTTCCCCCGCCTAGGATACCACAACTGGAGCAGACAGTCATCAATCCTAAATTCTCCCTCATCCCCACTGGTCCTCCGTGGGAGGAATCCGCCCCTAGTGTTTCCCCTTCCTCCCTAGAAAGAGAAAACAGGGAGGACAGAAGGCCTCTCATCATCAGTTTCAGAACAAAGTGAAGCCCCAAACAAAATAAGGAATACACGTTTTCCTGGTATAACTAAAAAGGCATTTTGAATGGGTTCAGCTCTCTGCTTAGATGATTGCTTTTAGCGCGACTGGAGCCTGTTTCCTAGAACCAAGGCGTCCGTTCAGAGGAGCTTGTCCTATAATGTTCAGGAAAAAACTATCTTTCAAAGCCCAATTTTGCATGTGTGATGGAAAGGAGAAAATATTGACACTTCTTTGATAGGAGGTGAGAATTTGGTCCCCCGTTTGTTTTTCCTTGTTGTTGTTATTGTCAGCAATTACTTGTTTTCTCCTGAATGTCCAGGTATTGCCTAATCTCCCATAGACTTAAAATCTTCCCGATGAGGAATCTTAAATATCTCACTGAATTTTAACATACATACATAATATTTTTGTTTGTTTATACTGAAATAAGTTAATTACCTATTCAGGTTCAGGAGACATTGTTCAGTACTGCTAAGGGTTTATAGGAACAGTGGACCAAGATCGTAGGGAGATTCCCTGGGCTTCCTTTCTGTCATATTTGTCCCACCCAAAAACTTTGATCAGAGTTACAGAATTATTATCACTTTTACTACTCTCTATTCCTCTGATTCTTTAATTGGTAGGTATGTTAGCAAGTTATGAAATAGATCTGTGTATTATTTTACTTGCAAATAAAGATGTCCAGGAGAAAATAATAAGCTGGTAATGTAGATAGAAAAATACAATTCAAATAAACATATTTTTCTGTATACCCATCTCCTTCCTCAGTGATGTATCCCACTTTTCCAACTTAGAGACTGTGGAATTCAGAAGTCTTTTGAGTTAATAAAAATCAGTAAGAAGTGCTGTATTTGAGCTTGCAGGGGAGAGAATAAAAACTTTTAAAGTGCAAATGGGTTTAGGAAGTTAACAAAAATAAGACAAAAAACCTCTCACGGCTTCACACGCACTGCTCCTTGAGATTAAGCTTTTATTAATCTCTCACATAAAACAGTGGTCCGGAGACTCCTGGCCTTTAATATTTGGTACTTTTCACTTCGCTTGAGATTTTGAAAACACGAGGTCATTTCAGTAGAAGTGAACGAGAAGCCACAGCTCCTCAGACCTTAACTACAACTGAGGAAGTGACTTCCAGCAAAGTTGTGCCACCAGAATCACTGTGGCCTGGTGAATGCCTCCAGGTCAAGCCAGAGTCAAAACCTAAACATCTCCAGAACCCAAAACAGAGCAAGAGAAATCCAAAGGGATGGGGCAAGCTGATGCTTGGAAAAGCCAGCCTGATGACTTAAGTTCCCATTTTTTAGAAGTAATGAGGATAATAATAGACTTTTTTTTTTCATTAAAGTCTGGTTGGCACACAATGTTACATTAGTTTTCAGGTGTGCAACATGGTGATCTAACAAGTCGGTACCTTATGCTGTGCTCACCACAACTGTCCCTCCCATCGGTCGCCATACATGCTATTCCAATACCATTGACTACATTCCCTATGCTGTGACTTCTTCATTCCAGAACTGAAAGTCTCTACCTCCTATCCCTCTTCACCCATTTTGCCCATCCCCCTCCAACCTCCCCTCAGGCAACCATCGCTTTGTTCTCTTTATCTGGATCTGTTTCTGCCTCTTTGTTTGTTTGTTCATTTGTTTTGTTTTTTAGATTCCACATATAAGTGAAATCATATGTTATTTGTGTTTCTCTGTCTGATTTGTCTCACTTAGTGTAATACCCTCCAGGTCCATCCATGTTGTCGCAAACACCAAGATCTCGTTCTTTTTTATGGCTGAGTAATATTTCATTCTATATATACACCACATCTTCTTTATCCATTCATTTATCAATGGATATTTGGGTTGTTTCCATATCTTGGCCCTTGTAAATAATGCTGCAATAAGCATAGGGATACATGTATCTTTTTAAATTGGTGTTTTCATTTTCTTTAGGTAAATACCCAGCAGTGGTATTACTGATCATATGGTAGCTCTATTTTTAATATTTCGAGGAACCTCCATGCTGTTTTCCACATTGGCTGCACCAATTTGCATTCCCACGCACAGTGCACGAGGGTTCCTTTTTCTCCACATCCTCGCCATCACTTGTTATTTCTTGTCTTTTTTATATTAGCCAGAGAAAAATAGACTTTCATTTGAAAAGGGTTGTCATCTCTCTTCTCTCATTTACATTTCTTAACTCTGCATTCGCACAGCAGGTATCACACTACCCCAGTTTACAGAGACAGAGGGGTCCAGGAATTCATCTGGCTAGAATCTGGATTTCCCCAGTTAGGGCCTTCTCTGCCATATCCAGTCTCTGCACTAACCATCAAGCCCTGCTTCTAAAGCACTGAAAGAGCCAAAGTAGAAGAAACCTCTGTACATTTCATAGAATCACAGAGAATGCTATCAAAGCTATTCTGCACACACAGATTAGATTTGGAGTGCAAATATCATGATAAATATTAGTCAATACATGCTATGTTATGGCACAACCAATGAGGTGTATGTGCTGCTGAAGCAAGCACAGGACACAAAAAATGTGGAAGCAAAAAAACAAAAAAAAGATGATTCTGTTAGCATGGTGGCAGTCAGGGAAGGCTGCATGGAATAGGAGAAAAAAAAGCTCCATCATATGATGTATATGTATCTTTTTATTTCTTTTTAAGATTTTATTTTTAAGTAATCCTTACACCCAACACAGGGCTTGAACCCATAACCCCAAGGTCAAGATGATCCATGTTCCACTGACTGAGCCAGCCTGGTGCCCCTAGCTTTTTAAAACTACAAAGCTAAAAGAAAGGCAAAGGGTAAAAGAAAAGAGATGATAAAGGCTAAAAGAAAAGAGATGCTAAAAACAAGATAAGATTGATGTTAAAAACCATGGGTGTTTTATACACATCTCAGTTTTAGAGTAGCTAATAATAACACCTAAGAGTTAATTGAGCACATACTAAGTGTTGAGGTGCTCTGCGTGGGTGTGTCATAGGAATGAACTCAGTTCATTCTCACAGCCACATTATGAGGTAGGTTCTATTAGGATCCCCACTCTGCAGATGAGAAAACTGAGCGTTAGAGAATTGGAGTGACTTGTCCGAGGTTGGGCACTGTTAACTGAAGTCAGGTCACATGAAGAAATCCTCCCATTGCCTTGGACAAGGGAGCAGATGGAAGATGCCCTGTGCTCCGCTCAGTGCTGTCCCTGTGGAGACTAGTTCCTTCCTAGTCCTTGTCTTCTAAGGTTTTGTTGCCTCAGCTTCTGGGACATCTGATGGTCTAGAAGGGCATTTAGGAGAGGATGAAGTAAGGATTCCCTCCATCTTCCATTCATTCCACGGGGTTTACGGAGAGCCTACTAAGTGTCAGCCACTCTCTGCTACATCCCGGGTATATGAGGAGTAAAATACAGCCCTGCCTTCAAGGAGAGGATAGAGCGTTACTTGTGTAGAAAATAATGACTG